TTGTTGTAGATTAAGTACATAGAGAAGAGATTTGTACACTCTAACGCGAGCGCGAGTTTCATACAGGTTGAGGTATGATGGCTTATATATACGCGTATATACGTAGACATATTTGTTAGAACACCTTTTGGATTCTCCCCATCATGTCCTACCCTACAATTTCGAAGCTGGCTGGGGATATATACATAGGTAATTCACGTTATAGCTATCTACCGCCATTTTGTTATGTACCTAGGTCATTGACCCCCGATCCAAGGAGGGGAAGTTCAGCGATCCTTTTGCGTCTAGAGTTGATACCAAGTTCTTTGATACGCGAACTGAAGACAAAGGGGTTGAATATTCTATCTCCGTTGAGTTAGGTACCGGCGGACCTGTGGGAAATAGAAAAGCCGCCACCATCTCTATCCGAGACCCCTGAATCTAACAGTCTAGTGGTCATTGGAACCCATGGGTATTTTGTTAATGTCTCGTGATGGGAATCTGGCTAAGGAACGGGTTACTCGTACCCGACCACATACACGCACCACGAGTATCCCTATGCATAAGAGGCTTCTGCTTGTGTCCTTTACCAGAGTCCGTAAAGAAAGGCGACGCAATTCTAACATAAAGACATTGTATTACAGCCAATGCAAGAACAATACACTTGATATTTCGGGGTTGGTAGCATCAATGTCTATGAGACTATATTAGAGGAAGTTTTGACTTGAAGGCACTTGTTATAGTCTGTAAGAATTGGTTTTATCATCAGCGCGGATGGTTTGCAAGTGCCATTGCTGGATAGCTTCTATATAAGAGTCCCCAACGTTCGTTGCAAGGCCGTCAATATTCTCTACTTCCCATCACACTAACAAGTTTTCACAACACAAGTTCTAGTTCATCGAGAAGAAAACAGTCAAGGAGTCCTTAATAGACCATGGAGCACGAGATGACGGCACAAACGACCCAGCTGAGCATCAGCAACGAGGCCGGCAGCCAGCAGCAGCCGCCCGAACAACAAGAGGCTTATCAACGACCAGATAGCCATACCGACAGAGACGACGAGACAGGAAGCGACAAGGATTCCCCATTCTGCCTGCGTTGGTACCCCAACCCCTATAATTTCAAACCCAGCACCAAGAACCAAATCCACCACGGAAACCACAGGGTACAACTCGATGCCCTGCTAACCCTGCTGCTCGAGCGCCTCCTCGAAGCGGCCGAGGAGGGCTTCCCCAAAGAAGAAGGCGGCAGCATCACCACCTCGTCGTCGGCGCACAACCGCTTCTACCGCGACGTCTTTGACCGCGTTCGCGCCGAGGCCGCCTCGCGCGACGACATCCCGACCCTGATTGTGGACAAGCCGGTCGAGAAGCTGAAGCTGGCCTTCTGCCCGACACAGCTGCGGTACAGCCGGCACTTTCAGCGGGACTTCCTTTACCCGAATGTCCACGCCTCCACTTTCCAGGAGCGGGAATACGACGGCGGCGACGAGGTCGCTGTCGTCGAGATCGCGGCGTCGGCGGGCATCACGAAGGATGAACTGCTCGCCGCCATCTGCGATTTCCTTCATCCCGAGACGGAGGAGGGGACGGAGGGGAAGCGCCGGTCGCTGCTGCATAGCTGGAACTGGGTGTTCGGCAACGACGGCGTTCTCGGTAGAACGCTGTTTCTGTACTGCGACGGGTGGCGGAACGACACGGCGCGGGAGAGGCTTGCGCTATGCGGGGCGAGCTTCTGCTTTTAGACAGGACAGCTTGGTATATATATATATAAATACTTATTATTCGGGAGCTTGAAACTCCTGATATAGGTATACCTACCTACCTCCCAATAAGGGGGGTCTTGCTCCTGGGATAGGGGGAGATAGACACTCTGGAGGCTGCTCATACGAGTAGCTCACATGAGTAACTGAAAGAGTAAGTAGCTAACCCAGCTGACGACGCCGACGGCATAGAGCCTGATAATAGAAACATTCCTTTATTATCTAATCAAAGTACTTGTGATTTTCTTAACCCTCTTTATCCACATCGAGAATATGAGCATGAGTACTCATGAATGAATTTTTAGATATCTCTAAAATATTATGATGGGCCTGTAGCCTGCGTTAGTTATTTGCATGTATGATGCTGCCTAAGGGTATAAATGATTCCCTATCCGAGTCCCAATCCCACGTTTTTCATGCTTGTGCTCCAATTCCCTATGCTATATCCGTTTTTAATGTTAATTTTAAGCCATGCTCAGTTCGCACGTAGCAATGCAAGCAGAAAGCTCAACCGTAGAACTCCTATCCATTTCCCTATCCCGTTCAACGCCATCACACAAACAGTGTCTCGACAATATAGTCGCAAAGCTCGTTGATACGCAGGACCTTACTACTAGGTACCAGTCGGCGTAGGCGTCGATCCTTTTGACCAAAGGAGCCCACACCATCCTGAAGATACGCCTTCTCCGCATCGGAGAGCTCTCGTTTCTCTGTTTCGCTCCACTCCCGTTCCACCTCGGCTTTCGCCTTTTGGAGGAGTGCCTCGGTATTCTCTTTTTCCCACAGATTACATTTGTTACACTCCTGACACTTTCGTCCGTCGCCCTCGGGCCGGAAGTGCTGGCAGAAATGCTGATATCCTTCGTTCTGCGAGCCGATGTCCTTGCGACAGACATAGCACATCTTGTAGCCGCACGGACAGGCCATTTTATTGCACCCGGCCTCCTTGACGAATGAGGTGTTGCAGCGCGGACAGACGCGCTTGACTGCCATCGACATGGCTTGTTCGACTTGCGTACGCAAGGCAATGAGAGACGACTCGTGGCAGACATGAATATCTACCCACTCTTTGGAACACGACAGGCAGGATGGACGCCCACAGGCCGGGTTCTGACAGGTGAATTTCAAGCCACGCCGGCGTCGCTGGTATCGACCGATTGCTGCTCTGAAAGGCCCCAATGCATAGTCTCTGAGCGATTGATTCAAATACATAATGACGCTTAAGGGCCCTAGAATCAAAATTGGAAATGAAGACAATAACATAATAAGAAAGATGAAGATGATAACCATACTCGGGATGTTACTTGCGCGAAGCTTTAGCGTCGGGGCACCAGCCGGCATATATAGCTCGTCAACTTCTGCGTAGCTACAGAAGGGGCATCGGACAAGGGGTAATCCGCTGGATAGGAGACCGTGCTCCGCCAGGCGTTCGTCAAGCTTGCGTAGAATCTCGTCCCCATTCTTCTCTCCACGCACGGCTCGACGGATATGCTCCGATGATATGCAGCCATCGCACTCTGCAGACGCAACAGCCGGACATCGCAGCGTGCCCATGTCCTTGTCGATACTGCGTTGCCAACCTTGTCCAAAGACTGCCTCGGTGATAGAATGTTGAATGCAGCGAAAACAGACCATATGGCCTTCGGCGGTACAGGTGGTGAACTCCTCGAAAACACCGTCGGTAAAGCAGCAAGTGCACTCGTACGTAGCCTCGTAGGCTTCAGCCTCCTCGGTATGTAGCGACATTGCCAAGGCGTGGTCGTTTTCCTCCCTCGAAGCTTGCTCGCGTCTCTGTAGTGGAATGATCAACTCGTCGAACAGTTCTCTATCCAGCTCGGCGTTGCCAGTGGGTTTTATGGTCGGAATCAGAGTGCCACCGACAGAATGGATCCATCTAATAAGGGGATGCGTTTCTACCTCGGCAGAGGGAACGTGCCTGCGGCGAAAGAAAGAGAAAGGCATGGTAAACCTCCACAGCCTCGAAGATAAGGCAACGAGGGTCGGCCGGGCGTCAAGGTATGAGTAGTTGGTCTCGGACAGAACGGCGTCAATCGAGGATTTAGACAGACCCTTGAACTCACGCACAGCCAGGGCCTTCACTGCCTTTTTGTATTCGGGGGTTCGGAATGCCTCGGCGCGCGGTACGAGCACCTTCGCGTTTGGATCGTGATCGCTGGCTCTTCGTCGTCCCTTTACAAACGCAGCTGGATTCTTTAGCAACTTGTCGGTAATGATAAATAGCCTTGACTCTTCGGAAAAAGATGCAAGCATCTCCCTAAAGACTTCCACTTGAATGTCGGGGAACAGAGCGGCGAGGGTCTCGAGATTGTTGTTGAGGTCGAGAAGGTGTTCAGGTGGTGGTGCGACAGGCTGGAGCTGCGATTCGTCCGATAGGTAATCCGAAGAGGAGACATCGGGGCTCCGAGAGCGTGACGGTGACGCTTCTGGGGTATTTCCTGACGACCTGAACTTAGTTGACCTAGGGGAACCGCTGCGTCCCGATGAGATGCCGAGCAAAGTGGAAAGGAACATGTCTTCTACTTGTTCTTGTTCTTCTTTCTCTTCTTTCTCTTCTTCTTCTTCTTCTTCTTCTCAAGTCAAGTATAGTCGGCCAGACAACACATTATGGCTATGGCCCTCGCTGTTGCTATGCACAGGAGACAAGGTGAGCGGGTTACTGCAGGTCGGAAACGGGGCTGGCATCAGCTACCTAATCAGGCAGACTACGCATGCGCATAACTCTCTAAGTAGGTATCTTGCTGGGCCCGAGGCGTCGTTTATTGATAGAATCTCAAATTAGGGACTGATTGGAAAACATGCATCGTTGGAGATGGTGGCACAAAGAAGTCTCTTCTTGCTGGGTTACAAGCGAGGTCAAGTAGCGAGTGCGGTATGAAGCGAAGGAGATAAGATTATGATTTTTTTTATTTTATTTGTTTTATTTTTTCCTCTTTTGGATTCAGAATTGCATTGTACAAGCCGTAAGGTTGTGAAAAGAAGGTAGGTTTAGAGACTAGCAGCAAGTTCCTGTCGATCTAGCGTATGTACATTACGCAGTCAGTGTCAGGGACCGTCAGGGTGTGGATCCCCAGCAGGTTTTGCTTTTGGGAAAGTACATATAAACCTTTAATTACTAATAGGGATGTAACGTTTAATACACTGCACACTCAGGGATATAAGATAAATTAAGAACGAGTTTTTCCAACTCAGGGAAGGTGCACAGCCTTCCCGGCAGAAGTCCACAGCTTCGTGAGCAAATGGCCCAGTGGTCTAGTCGTATGATTCCTGTTTCGGGTAAACCCAATACTCTACCATTAAACATGGTTGTATACAGGAGGTCCCGGGTTCAATTCCCGGCTGGGCCCAAATTTTTATAATTTTGTTGCTCTTCTTTTTTTGTTATCCTTTCTTTATGTGTGGTCAACGCAACAAGATCTCATCCGTCCTGCGTACGACTGCAAAGTAGGCCATGATACAGGGGTTTGTTAGAATGCATGTCATGTAGTCAAACCTTCTAACCCTCTGATCATATCCTGTTAAGACTACGAGAACAAGGCACCTTTTCACACCTATCCGGCTGCTCTTTTTTAGGTGGAATTAGGCGGAATCAACACGGATTCCACCCATTATGTACTGCTTTGCAGGACTCTCTTAGACATTCTCACTCAACAAACATGCCATAAGACAACATGGGCTCTGAGGTAAGTAATGGACCGCTCATAACTACTGTGATGATAAAATCTTCTTATGTCTAACATGATAATAGCGTAAATTAATTTAAGAAGTGTATTGGAAATGCTTAGAATACGTGTTGACAGGCGCTTGCCAGCTAGAGAAGCCCAATCTCTATACTTTTGTCGAAAAACGCTCACCTAGCAGCATCACTACTCAACAATCAGAGCTTCAATACTCAGCCATAATTTCCCAGAGCTACATTAAGCCTATTTTCTTGAGCCGACAGTTACTAGTGGGCATATTAGGACACTATACCTTTGTATTCTTTGTTCTAACCTAGTCTCTCTAGAACTGTGCGCATTATCTTGGAGAGTTCTCACAAAGAGACACAGTTGTTCGACCGTTTCCAGAAATATGGCCCCTTTGAGAGTGCATCGACTTGGGATGCTAGCTAGCGAAGTTAGGATCGCATGTCGACATGGCTGAAAAAGCTCATTGTATAATAACATGAACAAGGACATATTGTTCAGTTCTCTCTGCCAATTATACCAGAGAAATAGCCGGTAGATGACTCCTCCACCAAACCTCGCACGACTAGCCCAGCAAGCGGGTCTGGACCCTCGGTATATAGTAGTCCTGAGAAAGGCGGACGAAATCAGACGATGCTTTGGCCAAGAGGCTGGACGGTTCGCTTTCGAAGACCTCGTAGGTTTCGGCCAGTACGGTGTAGCCTGCCAGGTATTGCAGCGGGCAGAAGGACGGAGGTTCGGCCGGACGGCAGCGAAACGCTTCGTGGTTAAGCATGCTTTGGGAGATGAGAGACAGGTTATGGCCCTCAAGAATGAGATTCGAATGCTGCAGGTGAGGCATATGCTTACCTTCCCTTCCCTCGGACATCATCCAAGTCGAAGCTGAGGCTAACATGTACATATCTTCGATCGAATAGCGGTTACAGGGAGCGTCACATATTCTACAGCCCTTTTTAATAATAGATAACCCGCTTCTTGTAGCATTCCACTGTCCTAGTCTTGTTACCGAATATGTTGAAAATGGGTCTCTCAGCGATCTCATAGATAGGGTGACTGATTCGAGACAGCCATTGCCAAACCGATTATTATGGAGGGTATTTCTATGTTGTAAGTCAACCCTTAGAAGCTGTATAGATAGACGATAAAGCACCTTCATCGGTTCTTAGTACACTCCGTAAACAAAGTCTGCTATATACTAAGATTGGAATACCTAGTGCTGCGTTTTGTCATTGCTATGGCATGGCCGGATGTCGACGAAAAAGGAAATATACCCGCTCGAGAGGAGATCCGGGCACGGAAAGCTCAGATTGTCCATAACGATATGCACACCAAGAACAGTACGTTAAACTGAACTTTTTTTGACTACTTGCTCCCTAGCTGCAAGAAGGCGTATTTCGAAGCAATGGTGGACCAGATGCAACGCCTTCTAGGATTATTGACTGACCATGAGTTCTCCGTATCCGTAGTTATGATCAGCGACTTCGACCAAGGCGAACACTCCTTAGTCCCGATGCTCAAACTTATCGACTTTGGTCTGGCGCGGGAAAGACCCTTAGGTCTACCTTTCTTGTAAGCGAAGTTCCCTGGCGGACGGGGTGAAAAGAAACGTGTCCACGGGGGAGAGATAGCTAACGCCGCAGTAAAGCCCGATAACGGATCAGGGTGTCAAACGAAATATATACGATATCGGCGCCGTAAGTCCTGCTCTCCCAGCCTGCCGTAGTATTTATGCTGCCTATACCTAACGCCCATTGCTTAGTCCCCAACACTTATTCCCAACACTCACGCACTAACGTCCGTCTAAAGGTGATGATGGATATAATAACCGGCAAATCAAGACGGGGATCACGAGCCCGGATGGAGGCGCGCATATACGACCGCAGCATCGTCATCGACTCGGCAGCCGAGCCCCTGACGCCCCCGAGCTATCCGAACCTCGACCCGGACTGTGAGTAAATTCCAGAGTTCTTTATTTCCCCTTTAGTCAATCTCATAAATGCAAATTGCCATTTTGAGAATTCGGGTGGGCACATTGCTCCCGAAACATGCTTCGAAACTATCCAAAAGCAGCAATTATTGATTCTGGATGTTGCAGTGCGCGGCCTCGTCATCTGGTGCCTCGCCATTAACCCGGAAAACAGGCCGCTCGTGGAGAACTTGGAGGAGATTATCAGCGAGCAGGTACGCAGCAGGACCGCCAAGTCGTACGCCGGGTTTCCGTACCAGGAGGACGAGACGGACGAGCGCGTGGCGGCTATCCTGGCTCGTTTGTTGGGGCCGCCTGACGAATCATGGGATGCTATGTCGTTGGATGGGCCGAGGGGCAGAAAATCGTGGGGTGCTATGTCGTGGGAAGGGCCGCGTGACCGATCGTCGGGTTCCATGTCGTGGGAAGCGTCGAGCGTCGAATCGTCGAATATTATGCCGAATAATATGTCTAATATTATGTCGAATATTATGTCGTGGGAATGGACTGGTGACCAATCGTCGAATACTATGTCGAATGCTATGTCGTGGGAATAGAGGAGCAAGGATCTTGTCATCATGTACCTATATATTGAGACTATATTTTTCGGAGATGTGTATTAGTTTTAGGTTTCAAATTTTCTATGTAAATGAATACCATTCCAGAGTATCGCATATAGCGAAGCTCGAATATCAATAGCAATTCCGACTGCCCTATTTTCTCCCGGTCATAACTGATCTAACGTTCTTTTATATCCCGGCTCCATCCGTCTATGTCTTAGTATTGAGAAACCCCTCTAGGTCCTCAAACTCCCCGCTATGCCTCATCATATCGTAGAACTGCCCCTTGGCCTCATAAAGCTCCTTCGGGCTCCCCACCCTTTCGCAAGCAGTTAGCATGTACCTATTTCATTGTCAGGGGGCGGTCCCACTTACTCTAGAACCGAGCCGGCGCTCAACACCACCACGCGGTCATAATCGATGATTGTCTTCAGCCGGTGCGCGATCGTGACGAGCGTCCTGTCCCTGCCGTGCTCGTTCAACTCCTTCCTCAGAACCGCCTGAATCCCCTGATCGGTTTCGTAGTCCATGCTGGCGGTTGCCTCGTCCAGCAGCATTAGCTTGCTCTTGCGCACCAGGGCCCTGCATAGCGATAGCACCTGTCGCTGGCCGTGGGAGAAGTTCTCGCCCTTGGGCTTCACGGAGGTCGAGAGCGTGATACCGGTGTCGGTCGACGATTCGGCGGCGTCGGCGTCAGCGACGTGGCTTGCGTGGCCGTTCTGGGCGCGTTCTTCGCCCTGGTGGTATTGGAACGAGGCTATGTCGCGGCAGTACTGTAGCGCTTTGTCGATCGTCTTTTTGGGAATCTGGCCCGTCGGGTCGAGGTTGGACTCTACGTCCCCGTTGAACAAGACTGCTTCCTGTGGGATCACGGTGAGTGCTTCACGGAGCCGCCTCCGCGGCATGCTCGTGATATCGACCCCGTCAAACAGGATCTGTCCCGAGACTATGTTCGTAAAACGTAGTAAAGACAAGACCAGCTACGAGAATATGAATTAGTCCGAATTCCTCATTTTATCGGGGAGATACTCAACTCACAGTACTTTTCCCGGATCCGGTTCGCCCAACGATAGCGACTCTCTCGCCGGCTGCAAACTTTAGGTTGATATTCTTCAGAATATCAGGGCCGTCCACATCGTACTTGATGGTAACATCGCGAAACTCCACCTCGCCGCTTGTCGGCCAATTCTCAGGCACGACAGACTCTGGGTTGTCGGAGTATCCACCAATTTTCTTATACTCATCTGGTTTCTCCTCCGGTTCTATGGCAGCATACTCTCGGACCCGATGAAACTTGGCTAACGTCAATAAACAAGGCCTCGAGGCGCTAATCGAGGGATCGGACTCACGCTCTGCAACTCGACTTCGAGTTCATTGCCTGCCCTCACGAGCAGGATAATGAGCTGACTAAGATTCTGTTTACTTTGTTAGTAGTCGGCAATCTCCTTAGTTTCGAAGGGTGCCACAAAACGCCTACCGTCGCATTCGTCAACGAGAATCCAACGAGGCCAGCCGCCACGGTGCCAGCTTTCGACACGGCGATCGCGCCTGCGGCGACGGTGACCAGGGTCGTCATCATGTCGACCTTGAGCGCCACCCATCGGTTGCAGTTGAACTGCGCTTCGGAGGCCTTCTCGAAGGCGCGCAGCTCGTCCGCCAGCTGCTCGCCGAAGATCTGGGGCATGTTTGCGCGGGCGCGGATCACGGGCAGGCCGGCCAGGCTGTCGGCGAACTGGGCGAACAGCGGTGACTGCGATGACGATACCAGCCGTTTGATCGCCACGGCGGTCCTCGTGTACAACTCGCCCGCGAAAATCCCGACGACGCAACACGCAGCGGCGGGCAACATGAAGACTGGCAGCACCGAGCCGACTGCCACGATCTGGAAGCAGAGACGTGTGAACATCTCAAGACACATACGCAGCACTGTAAAATATGTCAACTACAACCCAATCAAGTCTACAGCTAAAGTACAGAAGCATCTCTCGATATTTTAAAACGCGTTACAATCAATGCATGGAGCTCCTTAGCCACGTAGGGAAGTAGTAAAGAAAATACCCGCCCGAAGGGTTGACTTACTGCCGGATAGAGACGTATCGATGGAATCCATGTCCCTCGAGAACCGATTGACGACT